GCAGGTAAAGCAAATGAGCTGATAAGGTGAAGTGTTGACGACAACGATTGGATGACTTAGCCTGATTGAAGAGTCTCTGCTCCACTTGGTACAGTGGATACGAAAAGGATGAGAAAAGGGGAGGAAAAAAGAGGAAGAACCAGGAGAGAATGAAAAAAAGAAGAAAAAGAAGCAACAAAAGAGGCGGAAGACAACGATCAAGGAGAAGGAGGAAGAAGAAGATGACGACAAAAGCGGGGAAGCAGAAGAAGAAGAAGAAGAAGAAGAAGAAGAAGAAGAAGAAGAAGAAGAAGAAGAAGAAGGAGTAGGAGAAGAAGTATCAACAGAACAGGTAGAATATGAGTATGACAAAGATGATGATGAAGAAGAAGCAGAAGGAGCAAATAGAGGTGAAAAACGAAAATGATGAAGAAGCAGCAGACGAAGAAGAAAACTCACTTTTATTTTAGAAAGACAAAGTTTAAAGAACATCCACCGGACCAGACATAAACTGAACCATTCTGAGAACATCAAAGTTTGTTCTGTCCCCATTTGGCATATTCTGTCCTCATTTGGCAGACAATCCAGGGACAGACGAAGATTATGTCCCAGTTACTATTCTGAAGTCACCGTGCAATCTTGATTCGGTATTTGTCTATCTTCTCACCGGCCGTCTGACAATGGCGCCCTAATGATGACATTATTTTAAACCGATTTGTGCTGTTTGATTTTTGACATGAAGTTCTGGGTTTTTATGTGTGCACGTAATGTGGCGAGCATAACTCTCAGGTTTGAGAGGGAAGTTGGAAGTCACAGTGACACGTAGGAAGGGTACTCAAATCAGGTCACCGTGGAGCTTGTTACCAGCAAAGAAGAAAATAAGGGGATAACAAGCCACAACTACTGCCTTTCTTTTCCTAGTCTGCTCAAGTTTCTACTTTTTCTTCTTCATCTGCATCCATTTTTCAAAATCTGTTACTGTTTCTTTATACTTTTCCTTCTTCATCTGCATCCATTTTTAAAAATCTATTACTGTTTCTTTTTCGCCTCTACTTCTTTATCTGCTGCTGTTTCTTCTTCTTCTCCCTCTTTTTTAAAATCTGTTGCTGTTTCTCCTTCTTCTCCCTTTTTTTTATCTGTTGCTGTTTCTCCTTCTTCTCCGTCTCATCTTGTTCATCTGCTGTTTCTTCCCCCCACCTTTTATTCTTCATCTGCTGTTTCTTGTTCTTTTTTCTATATCTGTTGCTATTTTTTTCTCTTCTTTTTCTAATTCACCATTCGGTAACTACCCCATGAAGCATACAGCCTCAACCAATTCAGGTCAGACTCATTGTAGACTTGGAACATTGTGGTCCAGTAGTGAAGTAGTCTGCCTCATGGTCTGAAGGTTGCAGATTCAATTCTGGAGTCTGTCTGTTAGTTTACGAGGGCAGGTATATAGGACATCTACAGGGGTTAGTGTCACGTCTTTGTCAGATATGACTGAGCTACCGTATAACAGTAGTTGGTACTACCTTTTCTCTGTTAACTTTGTCAGATATGACTGAGCTATCGTATAACAGTAGTTGGTACTACCTTTTCTCTGTTAACTTTGTCAGATATGACTGAGCTATCGTATAACAGTAGTTGGTACTACCTTTTCTCTGTTAACTTTGTCAGATATGACTGAGCTATCGTATAACAGTAGTTGGTACTACCTTTTCTCTGTTAACTTGGTCAGATATGACTGAGCTACCGTATAACAGTAGTTGGTACTACCTTTTCTCTGTTAACTTTGTCAGATATGACTGAGCTACCATATAACAGTAGTTGGTACTACCTTTTCTCTGTTAACTTGGTCAGATATGACTGAGCTACCGTATAACAGTAGTTGGTACTACCTTTTCTCTGTTAACTTTGTCAGATATGACTGAGCTACCATATAACAGTAGTTGGTACTACCTTTTCTCTGTTAACTTGGTCAGATATGACTGAGCTATCGTATAACAGTAGTTGGTACTACCTTTTCTCTGTTAACTTTGTCAGATATGACTGAGCTATCGTATAACAGTAGTTGGTACTACCTTTTCTCTGTTAACTTGGTCAGATATGACTGAGCTATCGTATAACAGTAGTTGGTACTACCTTTTCTCTGTTAACTTGGTCAGATATGACTGAGCTATCGTATAACAGTAGTTGGTACTACCTTTTCTCTGTTAACTTTGTCAGATATGACTGAGCTATCGTATAACAGTAGTTGGTACTACCTTTTCTCTGTTAACTTGGTCAGATATGACTGAGCTATCGTATAACAGTAGTTGGTACTACCTTTTCTCTGTTAACTTTGTCAGATATGACTGAGCTATCGTATAACAGTAGTTGGTACTACCTTTTCTCTGTTAACTTTGTCAGATATGACTGAGCTATCGTATAACAGTAGTTGGTACTACCTTTTCTCTGTTAACTTTGTCAGATATGAGTGAGCTACCGTATGACAGTAGTCAGTACAACCACTTCTTTGTAAACTTGATCTGAAATGACTGAGCCACCATATAGTAGTAGTTAGTACTAACTGTTCTCTGTTAACTTGGTCAGATATGACTGAGCTTCTGTATGATAGTAGTCGGTACAACCTGTCTTCTATTAATGCTGAATGTTGGGCAGCGTATACCAAACTTGACATCCCATATTGTGCCAAAGGCTTCTGGTGGCGGAGTGCATTGGGGAGGACTCTATTTTAGGAAGAGGAAATGCAACCTGAAAACTTCCTGTGACAGTCGTTTAGCCTTGGCTGGCAGCTGAATTAGAAGGGCAGCTCCATCAGTGGACACATAGAGCATTGTCATTTTGAGCCGGTAGCATCTGCAGTGTGTATTATTCCAAACGTATTTGATGTTACCTTTCCTTTGGAGTAAACAAGGTAGGCCAAGGGAGGAATTGTGATGAACAGGCAACACATGATCTCTACAATACTGCTCAGGCTTTGTGCTATGTCTCGAGGCATTGCGTCCACCTCAAGTGCTGGAGGTCCCGGGTTCAGGCCCTTTTACAGGCTGAGATTTTTTTCAGGTGGATTTCTAGTAATTTCCCCTAGTCTCTGGGTAGTAATATCAGATGCTCGTGTGTATTGTTGCACATGTAAATAATCCCTTGGCAGTTGGAAATTGAAAATAGTAGCCTAACGGCACTGTCCGGGCAAAATTTTGAGTTAAAAATCTACCTAAAGTATTTAAGGATCCTCACTGGTGCTACAGAATTCGTACACTGCGCTGAGATTCTTCAGACTCAGGCTTGAGACAGTAGTAGAACAGAGCACTTATGGGTTAGCCCCCTTGTGCCATGATGTTGATCCGTTGTCTAAACCTAAACAGAAGCGGCCTGCTAACTACTATTTTGAGGTGGAACACACAAGAGGAGAGACCATACAGAAAGATTACATAACAAACAATAATAAAACGAGATAAGAATATATCTAGTACAAGGAGTGTAATGAAAGAAACCACAAATTATCACTTCATAAATATTTACAAATGTTACGATATCACAACTGACATTAATGCACATTAAAATTCTGATACATTCTCAGTCGTCTGATACAGCAGGTAATGTAATCAGGTTAGCACCAGTCTTTGCAAATATACAATGATGGTATAAACTCACTGTAATATTTAGACAACCACAAAGGGATGCAGAAGTGCTGATCCACAAGTGATGGTCCACCATGACTCAGGTTCGCACTTGTTCAACACCTGCCTACACCTGTCCACGGTGATCCAAGGAGCAGGTTCCCTACCATGGACCTGGCCAACTTAGGATCAAAGTTTCTTTAGAAGTAGCCGTGCAACTGTCTGACAGCGAGGAATCGACAGTCTGCACACAAACAGGCCAGATCTGTAAAGCAGAGGTGCAAGCAAAACTAAAATTCTGGAAGAAGGTCAACATCCAGAAGTGGACAAACAACTACGATTTTCAGCGCATAAACGCTAAAAAAAAAGATGCAACTACAACTTTGAAGTGTAAAATTCTAAAAACTGCAGACATAATCTGTAAAATGTGTAGAACTGCTACTACTTAAGTGCAGAACTCAGCACCAACTCAGTGAACACATTGTAACAATTATAAAACTACAACTATTGATGTTTGAAACTCTAGCAGACCCAGTACAGACACTGTAACATTTTTAGAACTACAACTATTGATGTGTTGAACTCTAGCAGACCCAGTACAGACACTGTAACATTTTTAGAACTACAACTATTGATGTGTTGAACTCTAGCAGACCCAGTACATACACTGTAACATGCATACAACTAAAACCTTTTAACTCTACACAGACTCTGTAGTGTGAGTTTCAACTCCTAAACTGGTGCACTGACCACCTGAGCCCCAAGAAGGACCTGAGTCTATCAGCATGTGACTGCTGTTAAAGATACTTCTGCTACTCTGACCTTAGCCATAAGGTGGAGAAGCCACAGATTGTTCTGCAGTCTCAGTACTGAAGGACTACAGGAACTGCATGTAGGAAACTCCTGTTCATAACTTAGAGAACAAATTCAGAGGTGTGCCATACATAAATAAAAGCCAAGCTACCTCTCCCAAACCTAAATTCCTCTGCATCTACTGCCATATCTCCTACTCTGGAGTCAGCACTTCTCTGTCCTCTCCTTCTAATCCACAGTTTGCTGGCAGAGACTGACCACCAATAATTTATCTAAGTGCTGTGGTATAGTTTCTGACTAGTAGTGACAGCTAAATTAGAAGAACATGAATGAACGATATGAAACATTTTTGACCCAAACATACTACTGTACATTGTCCTTCTACAATGAGACATTTACATTTACAACTCCACAGGCAGACTTTCAGGACAAAGATCCCTCCAAGAAGATCTACCTGAGTTCTATCCAACAAGAAGATCCTGCTAAAAGCAAGATGCTTCCGTCCCCTCGGAGAGTCAGCTATGAAGAGTGTTAAGCATGCCTGAGGAGCCCAGTCTTTTAAAACAAGATGGCTGAAGGTCAAAGTTCACAGAAATCAGCCAATCACATCCAAGCTTGTCTGCTGCGGCGATGATGCTGTGAAGTATATAAAAACTGTCTTTACTCTTAAAAGAAATACTTTTTAGGATGGCATAAGATTGGAGGAAAAGAGGGGGGGGGGGGGGCACACTTATCGGGTATTATGTCTCTGATGAAGCAATAGGTGAGTGGATAGATGGGAGAAGGAGGGATGGGTGAGTGGATGGATGATCTGACACAGATGATCTTCCATGCCAAACAGCGCTGGCAGGCATGTCTATCTTTCTGTCTCATGTCTTCTTCTTGTTGTCCATGCTGTGTGGTGTTGGTAGTCATGTCTGTCTTTCTTGTTCTCATTGTCCATGCCGTGTGGTGTTGGTAGTCCTGTCTTACATTCCTTTTCTCATTGTCCATGCCGTGTGGTGTTGGTAGTCCTGTCTGACATTCCTTTTCTCATTGTCCATGCTGTGTGGGATCCAAGGCTCCATCTTGGAGAACAAAGGATAGACCCACTGCCCCCAGCAAGCATGTCACAGGAGGGGGACTGATTAGGGGTGTTTCCTTCTCAGAGCACACCTGCATGTGAGGCAAGGAACCAACAGTCTGTATACAAATAAGTCAGACCAGTAAAATAGATGTGCACACAAAACTCAACTTCTGGAAGAAGACCAAGTCCAGGATTGGATTAACAACCAGAACCTTCCACCAGAGTTTACAGCCGGTGAACACCAAGCAGAAGACGAAGAAGAAGATGATGTTTATCCACAACCTTCTGTCTTGTGTACTTTCAGTTCTGACACAGATGATCCTCCATGCCACAATGTTAAACTGTCCAGTATCTTGTGTACTTTCAGTTCTGACACAGATGATCCTCCATGCCACAATGTTAAACTGTCCAGTATCTTGTGTACTTTCAGTTCTGACACAGATGATCCTCCATGCCATAATGTTAAACTGTCCAGTATCTTGTGTACTTTCAGTTCTGACACAGATGATCCTCCATGCCACAATGTTAAACTGTCCAGTATCTTGTGTACTTTCAGTTCTGACACATATGATCCTCCATGCCATAATGTTAAACTGTCTAGTATCTTCTCTCCCTGTCTCAATTCGCTTCTTCCCCCCCCCCCCCCCCCCCCCCCCCTCCCCCCCCCCCTCCCCCCCCCCCCCCCCCCAGCTTTCCCACTGTCACGATGTTCTCCAGCTTTTCCCTTTCACCTTTCAAACAATGTTGATTGTCTCCTTCTGATGTGGGCAACCACTTCTCTCTGTTTCTTTCAAGACATCTTCATTACTCTTTTATCTGTCCAGGCTATCATCATCATTTGCCTTTAAAAAAAAAATAGAAACCACACCTCCTCTGCTTCCTGATAATTTTTCACTTATCGTCCAACTGTCCATGATTCACATTAGTATATCAGGATATGATTTATATAGCTCTTGAGAATGTATATTCTAGCCTGCCTTTATGTTTTTGGTTGTTTGTTCTATTGTGAGGCTAATTATATTGTTAAAGGTTTCTCTCAATGTGTGTCCTATCCAATGGCAGCACCTTATCCTCACCTTCTGATTCACAATGGAACTCTGCTTGCTAGTGAAGATAGGGATGGATCACCTATGGGAATGTTCCAAGTGTTGTGATATCTGTTTTAACTCATAAATGTTTAGTTCTCTCACAAAGCTCTATATCGGTGATTCTGACATACCATTGAACTCCCTCTATTATGCGCAGGCATCAATCAACAAATGTCTGTAATTTTAAGAATAGTATTATTTAAAAAAATAATACTAATAATAATAATACAGTTAATACAAAAATAATAATAAATCAGACAGTTACTGGTACCATAGGAATTTTAACTCTTCGCTTGCTGCTGGAGATGGGGGATGGAGCGCTTATGGGGGTGTCTAGAGTCCAGTGATGTTGATTCTTAATTGAACATACAACATTCAAGAAAAGTAAAACTTTATTAACCATCACCATCGGGACCTGGGCTCTGACAGATAACCGAATACACGGTAAACAGAAATCTATTCATACATATGTACGGGAACATGCTTTTACTGCAGGCTTGGGACAAAAATGATAATAAAATCCTTTAAAAGGATATATACACATATACACAGTATTTAATTTTACTAAACCATCAAAATAAACGCCAACATAAGAAGTTGCTTAAAAATAATTTGTCATCTCCTTTTGTGTCTTTAACTCTTTAGGTCCCAGGGGGTTTAGCATCACAGGCCCAGGAGGTAGTAAAGAAAGTAATAAAATCGGCGCATCATGCGTTCATTGGGCTTTTAGGTAGGAACCTATGAACGTATGATGCGTTCCTTGGGACTCAAAGAGTTACAGCTCAAGCTTTCTGCGAGGCGATGTTCCGTTATCTTATTTAGAAGTAGATTCTGTGTTACATTTGCCCCTTCTTTCATAGTAAGGTGTAACAGTAACCCCCGTGTGGGTTCCGGGGCCCCGTTGTGGGTAAAACAAGAACAGACCCACTGCTAACCCAAAAGCATGTCATAAGAGTCGACTAATTGGGAGCTTCCTTCGAAGTCGGAGTGCTGAAGGGCTCGGAATGCTGAAGAAGAAGAAAAAGAAGATGGACGCAAGTGAAGATGGTTACAACTTGAAGCTGACCATCAGACCTGTGTCCACACTTGCTAACTTATGCTGAAAGAGACTCAGCCCCCACAGCCATGTCCCTAGTGCAGTCACATCGATTATTATCAAAATTAAAAACTAATTCCTTTAAAACTGTTGTAATTTTGTCTGAGACTGGTTACATATTTCTTCAGAAAGCAATATACTCAGCCAATACTTAAATGTGAAAAACTTAGGCTTCCTTCGAAGTCGGAGTGCTGAAGGGCTCGGAATGCTGAAGAAGAAGAAAAAGAAGATGGACGCAAGTGAAGATGGTTACAACTTGAAGCTGACCATCAGACCTGTGTCCACACTTGCTAACTTATGCTGAAAGAGACTCAGCCCCCTACAGCCATGTCCCTAGTGCAGTCACATCGATTATTATCAAAATTAAAAACTAATTCCTTTAAAACTGTTGTAATTTTGTCTGAGACTGGTTACACATTTCTTCAAAAAGCAATATACTCAGCCAATACTTAAATGTGAAAAACTTAGTTTAAAAAAAAACCGACAACAAATTACACATAAATATACCCGTGGTGTGTAGCCTTGCAGACGCAAACGTTGAGTTTCCTGGCGCATGAGATCTTCATATCCTCCTTCTTCTTCTTGGTCTTTGGCAAGATCCAAGAACAATTGTTCTTTTAGCTGCTGCTCTTGTTCACGCCGAGCTTTCACCTGGCCACACAAATTTGTTTATAATGCATCATCAGTCTACCTGGACAGTGTAGTTTTAGTTGTTTTGCATGTTTTTTTTCCCCATGACTTTATGTATTTTTATATTTTAATGAGTTTTTTTTACTTCTTTCTGTGTTTTTCTGTATTTTTCACTGTTTTTATGAGGTTTTCATATCTTTCTGTGTTTTTCTGTATTTTTCAGTTTTTATGAGGTTTTCATATCTTTCCGTATTTTCAAGTCTTTTTATGTTTTTCATGTTCTTTATGTGTTCTAAATGTTCTTTCTGTATTTTTAATACCTGTGTTTTCCTGTATTTGTGTTTTTCAAGTTCTTTATGTATTTTTCTGTCTTTTTGCTATGCATTTTCCCAAACTGCTGTGTATTTTCATGTGTTGTGCATTTTCATGTGTCTTTATATATTTCCATTTACCATTCTGTAATTTAATGTTGCTTTGCGTATTTTATTGTGACTTATTTCCACATTATACATGCAGAACAGCCGACACAGAACTACTATAAAGTTAATTGAGTGTTCTTTACAGGACATTGTAGAACCAACCCTAGAATTTAAAAAAAAAATTGTTTGTGATTTTTACATTCACTAGTTTGCCATTATATAAATCCGATCCTGATATACGCAAGTGAATCATGGACAGTTGGTAGACTAGTGAAAAATTATGAGGAATCTGTACAGATGTAGTTAAAGGTGACAAGCATTGATGATCTACCTCCTGGGTCCACAAAAGCAGCAGCAGCAGCAGTAGCGGAAGCAACAGGGTGAAGAGAATATTTCAGATGGCATGGGGAAATCAAGAAACACCACCAGATTGGTACACTGCTGTCATTGTCCTGATATGGAAAAATAAAGGAAGTAAGAGGGACTGTACTATTTACAGAGAAATATTGCTTCTCAGTCACAATGGGGAAATGTATGCTAGGACCCTAGAAAGAAAGCTAAGACCAATAACAGAGTATCAACATTCAGAAGCACAGATGGGATTTTGGTAAAATAGCACACAGTTGCTATTTGTACATTATCAGAGAGAGCAATTGAACACGATAAGATATGTCTGTTGAAATTCATAGCCTTTGATAGAGTTGGCAGGAATATGTTGTGGGAATGTATGGGAAGAAAAAGGAATCAGCAATCATCTCATTAATATTTGCAATAGCCTGTACACACGTAGTAAATGCTGCATAAGATGGAAGGCAGGATTGTTAAGAACTTGTATGGTGAACTCTGGTGTGCGTCAGGGTGATGTACTATCGCCACTTCTTTTTATAACATTCATGGATACTATATGTAAAGAAATGAACTTTAATCATGAAGAAGATATTACCGAAATATTATTTGCTGACGACCAAGTACTCATAACAGAAAGTACGGAAGAACTTCAGAACCACCTAAATCAAATTTAAAAAAACGGGAGGAATATAACATGAGAATAAACACACAGCACTACCACAGAGAACTACCACAGTCCACAGAGAACTACCACAACCCAAAGAGAATTACCACAGCCCACAGAGAACTATCTTAGAGAACTACCACAGCCCACAGACAACTACCACAGCCTACAAAGAACTACCACAGCCCACAAAGAACTACCACAGCCCACACAGAACTACCACAGCCCACACAGAACTACCACATTCCACAGAGAGCCACCACAGCCCACACAGAACTACCACAGCCCATATAGAACTACCACAGCTCAGATAGAACTACCACAGTCCACAGAGAACTACCACAGTCTATAGAGAACTACCACAGTCCATATAGAACTACCACAGTCCACACAGAACTAACTACCACAGTCCACACAGAACTAACTACCACAGTCCACACAGAACTAACTACCACAGTCCACACAGAACTAACTACCACAGTCCACACAGAACTAACTACCACAGTCCACACAGAACTAACTACCACAGTCCACATAGAGCCACCACAGCCCACACAGAACTAACTTCCACAGCCCACACAGAACTAACTACCACAGTCCACAAAGAACTAACTACCACAGCCCACACAGAACTAACTACCACAGCCCACACATAACTAACTACCATAGTCCACACAGAACTACCACAGTCCACAGAGAGCCACCACAGTCCACACAGAACTAACTACCACAGTCCACACAGAACTAACTACCACAGTCTACACAGAACTAACTACCACAGCCCACACAGAACTACCACACTCCACACAGAACTAACTACCACAGTCCACACAGAACTAACTACCACAGTCCACACAGAACTAACTACCACAGTCCACACAGAACTAACTAACACAGCCCACACAGAACTACCACAGTCCACAGAGAACTAACTACCATAGTCCACACAGAACTAACTACCACAGTCCACACAGAACTACCACAGTCCACAGAGAGCCACCACAGCCCACACAGAACTAACTACCACAGTCACACCAGAACTAACTACCACAGCCCACACAGAACTACCTACCACAGTCCACACAGAACTACTTAACACAGCCCACACAGAACTAACTACCACAGTCCACACAGAACTACCAGTCCACAGAGAGCCACCACAGCCCACACATAACTAACTACCACAGCCCACACAGAACTAACTACCACAGTCCACACAGAACTAACTACCACAGTCCACACAGAACTAACTACCACAGTCCACATAGAGCCACCACAGCCCACACAGAACTAACTTCCACAGCCCACACAGAACTAACTACCACAGTCCACAAAGAACTAACTACCACAGTCCACACAGAACTAACTACCACAGCCCACACATAACTAACTACCATAGTCCACACAGAACTACCACAGTCCACAGAGAGCCACCACAGTCCACACAGAACTAACTACCACAGTCCACACAGAACTAACTACCACAGTCTACACAGAACTAACTACCACAGCCCACACAGAACTACCACACTCCACACAGAACTAACTACCACAGTCCACACAGAACTAACTACCACAGTCCACACAGAACTAACTACCACAGTCCACACAGAACTAACTAACACAGCCCACACAGAACTACCACAGTCCACAGAGAACTAACTACCATAGTCCACACAGAACTAACTACCACAGTCCACACAGAACTAACTACCACAGTCCACATAGAGCCACCACAGCCCACACAGAACTAACTTCCACAGCCCACACAGAACTAACTACCACAGTCCACAAAGAACTAACTACCACAGTCCACACAGAACTAACTACCACAGCCCACACATAACTAACTACCATAGTCCACACAGAACTACCACAGTCCACAGAGAGCCACCACAGTCCACACAGAACTAACTACCACAGTCCACACAGAACTAACTACCACAGTCTACACAGAACTAACTACCACAGCCCACACAGAACTACCACACTCCACACAGAACTAACTACCACAGTCCACACAGAACTAACTACCACAGTCCACACAGAACTAACTACCACAGTCCACACAGAACTAACTAACACAGCCCACACAGAACTACCACAGTCCACAGAGAACTAACTACCATAGTCCACACAGAACTAACTACCACAGTCCACACAGAACTACCACAGTCCACAGAGAGCCACCACAGCCCACACAGAACTAACTACCACAGTCACACCAGAACTAACTACCACAGCCCACACAGAACTACCTACCACAGTCCACACAGAACTACTTAACACAGCCCACACAGAACTAACTACCACAGTCCACACAGAACTACCAGTCCACAGAGAGCCACCACAGCCCACACATAACTAACTACCACAGCCCACACAGAACTAACTACCACAGTCCACACTGAACTAACTACCATAGTCCACACAGAACTACCACAATCCACACAGAACTAACTACCACAGTCCACACAGAACTACCACAGTCCACAGAGAGCCACCACAGACCACACAAAAAGCAACAAGACCACTCACAATCAGACTCACCTGTTCTTCCAACTCACTTCTAGTGGTGAGTTTGTTGCGCCTTTCTTCTTCTTCCTCCCTGTGTGTCATCTGCTGAACTATCTCCATCTCCCTCACCAGCTCCTCTCTACGCTGCAAGGATTCCTCCTGCTGTCTCTGCAGATCCCTCAGTTTCTCGGCGATCTGTTCCTGCCGGCTCTCTAGAACCTATGGAAACACAGGCATGAAAAGTTTACCTCCAGGTTGGAGCTAGAATTGTGAAGCACGATTCTGGTGGACTTGACCACTTTAATCTGACTATGGAGGTCATGGCAGTCACCAAAGCAATCAAATGTTTACCTTCAGATTGGAGCTAGGATTGTGAAGCACGATTCTGGTGCTGTCACCTTCACCACATGTAATCTGACTATGGAGGTCATGGCAGTCACCAAAGCAATCAAATGACTGAAGAAACTGAAGACACAGACCTTTTCCAGAGCATGCTTTTTTCTGTGATGCATTGAGCATGCTCAAGAAGACAGAGAAGAGATGGGCTGGTGTATAGTCAGTTGTGAAGAAGGGTTTGAGAATCATGTGTATGGAGAGCAAGGCGGACACACCAGATTCTATTCCTATGTTTAGATGAAGGCTGCCATATATGGATTACATAGAAATTAATCCAATGAAAAAAAAGCTCAGTGATAGGGGAAGGGCAACAATGTGCACAAAACAGAGAAATCGATGTTTCTGCCAGCGCCTTTCTTATCACGAACTACACAACAAAGGGGCGAAGTACTCTAACCAACAGGGCTCACCAGGGGGTCAGATGAATACCTTAAATATAGGAAGAGAAAAGGATGATGTAGAGTGGATACAATTTAATAAATGAGTGAGCAAAAACATTAATAAATATAACAGTGACAATATATAATAGTGGTAGGGATAAACATACTCATGATCCATAAAACAAACAGAATGGAATAAAATTATACAATTTAATAAAATAAAAGTAAGAATAGTTAAACCGCACAGACTGAACATTGATACCTGTCGGGCTAAGAGCATCTAGACGTCAGGCAGAAAAATGGAGGCAGACTATAAAGTACCGTACTGCTAATTCCACACCTACTGCGGCTGCCACCTGTTGTCCGCACTTCTCAAGAACTTTCCAGGCTCAGATTGGACTAATCAGCCACCTTCATACTCATAATCATTACTACTTTGGATGAAACTCTTCATTACATGCAATGGATGAACAACAGACTATGGATGAGGCAAATTCCAAAGAAATGCAACAGACCTGTTGGAGACAGTGAATAGTGCAGTGAGCAGTCATCTAACAAAGCAGAGGAATAAACGTGCAAGTCTACTAAGAGATGAACGTAAAACTGGTGGCTATCCCTCTTCAGTGCAGTTTTCCATGTCAAAGATGCCGCATTCAGGTCACTTTCCATCGTTCGTCTCCAAGTTGTTTTTGGGCGCCCCTGTTTTCTCTTTCCCTCTGGTGTCCATGTGAGAGCTGTTTTGGCAGGTATATCAGAATTCATTCTCATAACGTGGCCAAGCCATTTCCATCCTCTCTTGGTAATCATACTGTCTAAAGTTTCTTGGTTTGTGACATGAAGTAGTTTAGTGTTTGAGATTGTATCTGGCCAGAAAATTTTGATAATTCTACGTAGACATGTGTGGTGGAAGGTGGACAGCTTGTGTGCATCTTTTATGGTATTCCAGCATTCTGCTCCATAAAGAAGAACTGGCAAAATGATGCTCTTGTAGAGTCGGAGTTTCATTCCTCTGAATACAGAAAACCACAACACTGTGCTACAACCTGGTATCAGTGAGATGACAAAAGAACAAGAAGAAGAAGAAAGAATTATTTCCCACTCACCTCGGCCATCAACCGATGCCTGGCTTCCCGCTCTTTCTCCCATTCTGCTTCTCTCTTCTGCCACACACGACATGCCTCATCTCTGTTGATGTTAACGCACCTCAAATTATGATAAACACTTGGCAAATACTACAGAATGTTCAGCAAATGTCAAAAACAAATCAAGTATTAGGAAATACTTAGCAAATGACTACTAATAATTGGCAAATGCCAAGAAGTAATAAAAATATATCATGAAATACTGAAGATGAATTATTAAATAACCAACATATATCATAAACTACTCAAAATGTATCACAGAATCCTTAACATATATCATGAGATACTAAAATATACCACAAAATACTCAAGATATATCATGAAATACTAAAATATTCCACAAAATACTCAAAAGGTATCACGAAATACTCAATATGTCTTACAAAATACTTCACATATTATGAAAGACTCAAATCGTATCATGATATACTCAACATGTATCACAACATATTTAACACGTATCACAAAATCCTGAACCATATATCAAAATACAAAACGGTTGGAAAGAAAAACTAGAAGTGTCATGAAATATTCAACCATAAGAAATCGGAAACTTCCCTTGTTAGACCAAACCCACTGCCCCCTCCCCCAGCTCCCCGCCCAAAAAAAGTCATATCATAATAGGTGCATAATTAGGAAGTTTTTTCAAAACTCTGAGAGCATCTGCCTGAGAGGCGAGGAACCAGCAATCTGCACACATATAAGCCAAATCTGTAGAATGGATCTGCATGTAAAACATGAGCTCTGGAACAAGATCAAAGTCCAGAAGTGGACAAACAGCCAGAACTTTCCACTGGAGTTTACAACTAGTGGACGCCAATAACCAGAAGAAGACCGGAGACAAACAAATTCAACAGCTGACCACTCACTGATAGAGCATGTCCAACTCAGCCTCTCTGGCTTTCTCCAAACGGAGCTGGTCTTCAATCACCTGTGAGAAGTACAGGTGAGATCATGCATCAGTGATTTCAGTTACAAGTGAGATATTTTATATATAGAGTTTAACTGCCAGAAATGATCTTATTAATCAGTCAGGAACTGACACATTAATAAAGGTTGGTACTGTCCCACATTGTATACCTCTTGCTCTCTCACCTTTAACTTCCTACTCACGTGGTGTTATGTCTTTTAAAAGTTAGTTGTGTCCCATTACAGGACGTTGCAGAGCCAACCCCAGCATTTTTTTATTACTATGACCAAATATATTTCAATTTTTTTCTGTCTTTCAGCCACTCTGTATGAAAACCATTCATCTAATTTTTTTCTGTCTTTCAGCAAACTCTGTATGAAAACCATGGATCTAATTTTTTTCTGTCTTTCAGCAAACTATGTATGAAAACCATTCATATAATTTTTTCTGTCTTTTAGCAAACTCTGTATGAAAACCATTTATCTAATTTTTTTCTGTCTTTCAGCAAACTCTGTATGAAAACCATGGATCTAATTTTTTTTCTGTCTTTCAGCAAACTATGTATGAAAACCATTCATATAATTTTTTCTGTCTTTCAGCAAACTCTGTATGAAAACCATTCATCTAATTTTTTTCTGTCTTTCAGCAAACTCTGTATGAAAACCATTCATCAAAATTTTTTCTGTCTTTCAGCAAACTCTGTATGAAAACCATTCATCAAAATTTTTTCTGTCTTTCAGCAAACTCTGTATTTAAACCATTCATCTAATTTTTTCTGTCTTTCAGCAAACTCTGTATGAAAACCATTCATCTTTTTTCTGTCTTTCAGCAAACTCTGTATGAAAACCATGGATCTAATTTCTTTCTGTCTTTCAGCAACTCTGTATGAAAACCATCGATTAAATTTTTTCTGTCTTTCAGCAAACTCTGTATGAAAACCATGGATCTAATTTCTTTTCTGTCTTTCAGCAACTCTGTTTGAAAACCATCGATTAAATTTTTTCTGTCGTTCAGCAACTCTGTATGAAAACCATCGATAACATTTTTTCTGTCGTTCAGTAACTCTGTATGAAAACCATCGATAACATTTTTTCTGTCGTTCAGCAACTCTGTATGAAAACCATCGATTAAATTTTTTCTGTCGTTCAGCAACTCTGTATGAAAACCATTGATTACATTTTTTCTGTCGCTCAGCAACTCTGTATGAAAACCATCGATTAAATTTTTTCTGTCGTTCAGAAACTCTGTATGAAAACCATCGATTAAATTTTTTCTGTCATTCAGCTACTCTGTATGAAAACCATTAATTAAATTTTTTCTGTTGTTCAGCAACTCTGTATGAAAACCATCGTTATAAATAAACATCAACCAGCAAAGATTCTCTTCCTCTGCTTCTCAACTTCCTCTTTTACTGCTACGAGTGTCAAGGGAGATATCAGGTTCGGCTTCTTACCCTTCTAGCCGCCTCAACCATAGACACACTGTACTGTTGCAGAGTGTCTCTGATCTGATCTTTCCATCTTGTTCTTGGTCTATCCTCGTGCTCCATGTCCTTCTCTTGTCGTGTATGCTTCTCAACATGTCTTCTTCTGTCTCTCTTTCCACAGATTTTTCCAGTTGTCACAACATGTTCAAACTGCCTTCTTTTCATACCATGACCAAAAAAATAATGACTGTCTTCTTCTGAATGTGTGATAAGATGTCTTTGAGCCCTCGCCTCTTACAAACATCTAGGTTGCTCTTTTTAGCTGTTCAAAAATTATTCAGTAAAACAAACCACACCTCCGTGGTCTCAAGATTTTGTTAGGCTTGTTTTTTAAATTGTCCAGGATTCACAGCCGTATGTTACAACAAACTGGCTGTATATAGCATGCAAGAATTCCATTCCTAACCTCCAAAGACTGGATTTATTGCATAAAATGTTCTTCATTTTAAAAAATGTAGCAGTTCTGGCCTGTCCTGTTGTTCTTTACCATATATCTTCTGTCTGAGGTTATCTGTGTGACAAGATACTTTCCTGTAATTGCCCTAAAATAACGCCTTTGACTTCTATTATACATTTAGGCACTATTCTTGTCTTGGAAATCATCATTTCTTCTGTCTTCCTATTATTCAAACTAAGGCCCATTTTATCACTTTCTACTAGTGAGTGTTAACTGTTCTTTAAAAATGATTTAGCATAATATGCTCGATGCATCACTGACTTAAAAAAAAAGGGTCCTCCGCCAGGACATTTATCGTCGACCGGTAAAAAAAAAAAAAGTTAGGAAGACTATCAACCAGGTTGTCACTGGAAAATAAATGTTTCATTGGTTACTGAAGAAACAACAGATGGCTACTGAAGAAAACAGACGGCACAGATGGGTACTGAAGAAAACAGATGGGTATCGAAGAAAACAGATGGGTACTGAAGAAAACAGATGGGTACTGAAAAAAAAAACAGATGGCTACTGAAGAAAACAGACGGCTACTGAAGAAAACAGACTAGTACTGAAGAAAACAGACGGGTACTGAACAAAACAGACGGCTACTGGAGAAAACGGATGGGTACTGAAGAAAGCAGACGGGTACTGAAGAAAGCAGACCGGTACTGAAGAAAACAGACGGGTACTGAAGAAAACAGATGGCTACTGAAGAAAACAGATGGGTACTGAAGAAAACAGATGGGTACTGAAGAAAACAGACGGGTACTGAAGAAAACAGATGGGTACTGAAGAAAACAGACGGGTACTGAAGAAAACAGACAGGTACTGAAGAAAACAGATGGCTACTGAAGAAAACAGATGGCTACTAAAGAAAACAGGCGGCTACTGAAGAAAAAGAAAACAGATGGCTACTGAAGAAACCTATTTATTCATTCACTCATTTATCTACTAGCTACACAAATGACAAACAATCGAGCACCTGTTTCATCCACTGAGCATCAGCCCTTGCCTTCTCTCTGCGAGCAGATTGCAGCGCCACCTGCTCATGTTCTTTCTCAATTAACGACTCCAGGAGTTTCCTGTCTTGTTCCTGTGAAGACAACAACAGCAAAAACTGTGACTAGATAGCTCAACAGGAGAAATAAAAAAAGATCAGCACAAATACCCCCCAAAAAAAATCCAAACAGTCTTTACCAACACACAATACTTGTTGTTGGTACCTTTCCGTCTTTCTTCTTTGTTGGCACCTTTCCGTCTTTCTTCTTCTTTTTCTTTTGTCCTCTAACAGATACCGAGTTGTAGCCCAGTGTCGTGGTTTTCTGTATTTGTCTTGTGCTTTTCGGGTGGCTTGGGTGATGGATTTGTTCATCTTAATTTTTTTTTTTGCAGTTTTCAACTACACCATTTATCCATCTCTTTCTTGGTCTTCCTCTCAAGTTCCTTCCAGATGTTCTGCTTTACAAAAGTCTTTCCAGATGGTATTTTTTTATACTGGGTAATGAAAAGGCTTGCGAGTCCGACTCGTAATTCCAACATACCGCGATTGAATCCCACTGCAGGCTGCATGGATTTTCATAATGGTACAGGGTGTCGCAGGTCGACCCAGCCTAAAGCAGGTACCAGGATGTATGTCCTGGGGAAGTAAAGATAGCCAGCGTAATGCTGACCACATTACCCACCTAGTGCCAATTGGCCTGTACAAATATTGCTGCTCTTCCCATATGCCCGATGCGCTTAAGGCGTGAAAAGGGATCTTTACTACTTTTTTTATTTTACAATGAGTAGGCATGGAACTCACAGCCCCTAGCGATGACCAGTGTAACTAACAAGACCCGCCCGTGTTAATAGAAGTCTTCCACAATTATACCATTGTTGTCGTCACATATCTTTACTGTGCTTTTCTTCTCAGATCCTCAGCTCCCATCCTTTCTGCGATAATTTCTTCATTCTCATTCCATTCTTGAAGTGCCCTCTCCATGCAACACGCTCCATGGCATTTTGTTACCATGAATCTACCTCAATACCTGTATGATTCATGTCCAACTTGCACACATCTTCATATCATAGTAGAGGTCAGCCTCGACATATTCTACCAATCTGTAATTCAACACAGAAGATGTCCTTAGGGACTCTACCATCCTCCATTCTCCAGATGTGACCCAGCCACTTGAGCCTCTGAAGACCGAGCACGGTGGAAACTGTTGTAACATCTGCTCTCTCCAAAAGCTCTGTGTTTGAGATCTTGTCCTGCCACTTAATGTCAAGTATTCTTCTTAGGTACCGCATGTAGAAGCCATTTAGGTGTTTCTCCTGATGCAAATTAGTTTACAAGTTTCACTGCCATAAAGAAAAGTGCTGAGAACATAAACCTGATAGACAAGAGTTTTTAATCACACAATACAAAAGAATCATAAACAACTGAGAAGGTCATATAAAAAAAAAAAGAATGATAAAAAAAAAAGTAAAACAGGAAAAGGGAGACTATTACGAAGTAAGGAAAGTGAAGGACCTTTCGGTTAACAGTCCCACATCATCGTGCCCCGCAGTTAAGTGTAGGCGGTCCTGTTTTGCTATCTCACATGATCACCAGAATCACTTATCAGTTCAGTGCTCTTGTCTAGCTCCATCAATGTGGCCAAGTCATCCAGGTATTTATCTCTTTCTCCTAACATGTCCTAAAACACTGACTGTCTAAACACTAACTGTCTAAACACTGACTGTTTAAACAATGACTGTCTAAACACTGACTGTCTAAACACTGTCTATCTAAACACTGACTGTCTAAACACAGACTGTCTAAACACAGACTGTCTAAACACTGACTGTCTAAACACAGACTGTCTAAACACTAACTGTCTAAACACTGACTGTTTAAACAATGACTGTCTAAACACAGACTGTCTAAACACTGACTGTCTAAACACTGACTGTCTAAACACTGACTGTTTAAACAATGACTGTCTAAACACTGACTGTTTAAACACTGACTGTCTAAACACTAACTGTCTAAACACTGACTGTCTAAACACAGACTGTCTAAACACTGTCTATCTAAACACTGACTGTCTAAACACAGACCGTCTAAACACTGACTTTGTACATCTAATTTCTCTTTTCAGTTTACGGTTTTTATCTGTCATCTCCAGAGGGCGAGAACAGTAAGAAGAAGAAGAAAAGGAAGAAGAAGAAGAAGAAGAAGAAGAAAGGGAAGATGACACTGAACTTACTAATTCTTCTTGTATAACTCTAGACTTGTGCAACATCTGAGCCTTATGCTGCCGCAGCAACAACCGCCTGTAGAAAAAAGCCATGTGACACATAAAGATAATCATAATAAAACCTATTTTAACATAAATTCTCTTAAGACAAACATCAGTTAACAGAAACTAAATGTCCGTCTTAGCAAGGATTATTATAATACATCTGTTTGTCTCCAGTTAGCATTTTAAAAATTAGTTGCATGTCCTTTACAGGACGTTGCAGAACCAACCTCAGCATTTTTTTGGTGGCTTTTGTGGTTTTTCTAGGCAGATTTGTGTCCAGTAGTTTGTCATTGCTTTCTGGACGGTCGGCTTCTCGATACCACGGTAGAAGCCAATGCAAGGCCTGCAGCTAGGATCAAACCCGGCACCACAAAACTCGTTGGCAACACCTAAGCCACAGACCCCAACCCAGTTAGCATACATTTTTTAAAATACAAAATTTTGACCTTTTGGTCCCTCTGAATTCATATTAACAAGGTTTTAATGTTTTAACAAAAGTTCAATGATGGCGTTACAGAAAGTATAACAGTGCTGATTTATTCACACCCCCCATTCTTTATTTAGGCTCCAGATGCCATATTTAGGGAACAGAAACATGAACCGACCCACATTCCTTTCCAACTTAACTCTTTGAGTCCCAAGGAAGCCGACATACGCTCATACACTCCTACCTAGAAGCCCAATGAATGCAAGATGCGCCGATTATACATCTTTCTTGACTTCCCCTTGGGCCTGTGATGCTAAACCCCCGGGACTCAAAGAGTTAAGAAGCTGAAAATACAACAACTGCATCTGGGTCAAATTCCCCATAAGTATCATTTTTCCAACTTGTCTATAGTGACTTATTTACAAGAATGTTGAATGTTGAATTCGGAATTGACATCACAGAAAACATCCAAAGGATGCTAACTACTCGAGACCTTTAAAGTGATGTTTGCCACTCTGCACTGAGCATGCCTGTCCTCACCTTTCACAACATGCCCTGTAAGTCAGTTACAATGACGGCATGTGTGTACAGCTGATTCTCAAGCCAGCAGTGATGGCCTCCACCTTCATTCTCAAACTAGACGTGGTATCATATGCCAGGCTTTGTTGCAATTCATTTACAAGATGCAGAGTTAATGCTACCAGCTGGTTTTTTTCCCTGCCCGCCCAAATGTATAGGAGGTCAGGATATGAATACACTAAATAACAGCAACATTTTTTCCCTTGAGCTAATGGCTTTTTTAAAGCCAAGCTGGGGTCAGAGTTTCATGTAAGCCTTATTGATAGAGGTCATGACCTTAGTCATCTGACACAACAGTTTCTTCCCCCTGCCCCAGGGGGATGTTTTCCATTTAATGGCTCACCCAGTTCATGTTTACCGATTACTCCCTCAATATATCTTTATATATTTCCCTCCAAAAAGATTATTTTACAAAAGAATGTAGACAAATACATCTGTAAAGATTTTATTAGAGATACCTCAATTTTTTTTCCTATATGATATTAAAAAAAAATTCCAACAGAGTCAAGACCTGTTTATTTTAGTGTTCCTGGGGTTAAAAGGTTAGCAAGAATGTAAAAAGCAACTAATTATAAGTTTAATGAAATTAGATGTGTTAACACAGATATCACTGCCGAGGTGTAAACCACAATACAGTATGTCAATTGCTGTTTTAAGGACGTAGGAAAAAGAAGAAGATATGACCACATTTCACACAATGACCTAAATAAATCCATGACTGTTTAGGAATCAACATCATAACATGTTCAGAATACCCACAGGTGGTTTATCTCCCACAGAAAATATCTTTAGGTGGAGATGCTAGCAGTTTCCAGAGCATACTTGTACAAACATCACATCCTTCCGCTCATACATCCTTTACAGAGCATACTTGTTGTACAAACATCATATCCTTCCGCTCATACATCCTTTCCTGCTGAATCCACACTTAACTTCAATTTCACACAACTATTTCACACAACAGCTTCTGAGTTGAATGCATGGCGTGACCCTGTGAGCTGCGGATTGCATTTGGAATGTTTTTTCGACTGTGACCAACGTGGTGTGAATTGTAGATTCAGAAAATGGCGCGATGCCGGTCGTGCAATGCTGGCGGGACCCGTATTAAAATTGATCGCCCGGGCAACTGCTGATCTGTTGGCGACAAGTTCTGCTATCATCAATGATGAACTACATTTCTAATGTTGGACTGTTTGTGTTAGCACTTCGGATGGCTACCATATGCGTTAATGCGAGTGTATGCTAGATATGCTGAGACAGCAGTCTGTCAATCTTTCCACAAGGGACTGTGATAAACATTCTGGGTGTTTTTCGCTGGCACAGGAGCGGAGCAAAGATGGGGCGACCCGTTTGCTATGAAGCTGAAACTAAGACTACCAGACTACCAGACTATCACACAACTATACACATGTTCAGGTGAAGAAAAGACGCTGGCATTGGATAGGACACACATTGAGAAAACCGAAGAACAAAATAACTATAATGTCTTTGCATTGGAACCCAGAGGGGCATAGGAATAAAGGAAGGCCAAAAAACACATGGAGAAGGGAGCTGGAGAATGAAGCTAGAAAGATATGGAGGACATGGGGAGAGCTGCATGCGATAGCAAAGAATAGAACGACTTGGCTTGAGTTGGTTGAGGGCCTATGATCCATTGGGGGCTAGAAAGGCAGAAGAAGAAGAAGAAGAAGAACAATACACATTCTATAAGGCATACATGAAAAGAGAAGAAGGATGTAGAGCATGAGATAGACCAAGAACAAAATAGAAAGATAACCTCAGAGACTGCAACAGCACAATGTGTCTGTGGTCGAGGCAGCCAGAAAAGCAAAAAGCAGAACCTTACATCTTTCTCGACACCCGCAGCGATAAAAGAGGAAGTGAAAAAGAAGAAGAACCCAGGTTATTTCATTGAATAAATGATCATACATACCCTAGTTCTTTCTTTTTTCGCTCCTCCTCCTTTCTCCGCTGGAGCTCTTCTATTTGCTCCAGCTCCCACTTCTGTTTTAATAGATCCTCCTGTTGTTTCCTCCAAGCTTCAGCCTAAAATAAAACAAGGCATCAACAGCTGTAAACATACAAATAAACAACATGCTCCTCAGTTGTAAACTATATGGAATAACATCAGTGACAGAATAATGTCAGTGACATGACAACATCAGTGACAGAACAACATCAGTGACAGAATAATGTCAGTGATAGGACAAGATAAATAATAGTATAATGTCAGTGTCAGAATGCAGTCAGTAACAGAACAAGATCAGTGAAAGAACAGGCACTCACTTCTGCTTCTCGTCTCCTGAACTCCAGCATCTGCTCTTTCAGAATCTTCTTGAGTGACTTCTCTTGCTGAAGCTTCTTCTCCTCCTGCTGCCTCTCCAGCTCCAAGGCAGCCAATCTCTCCTGCTCCATCTGTTTCTCCAAGGCCAACTTCTCCTGTCTTGCTGTCTCTAGCCTCTGTAAGGGTCCGAAAGTAAATCATGTGTAAACTGGGCAGGTAATCAAGGGAAAAGTCAAGTAAAGAAAGCTTTCACGCCTTTAGGCATATTGGGCATACACAGCTAGACCTATATTTCATAGACCAACTTGCACTCAGTGGGTGATGTAGTCAACATCACGCCGGCCAACTTTACTTCCCAGGACTTTACCTGGTCTCCATTCAAGGCTGGGTCAATCTGGGAGCCAAAGTCATTTTTAAAAAAAGTCAGGTACCAACATGATCCAAACCAACAACCTTCCGATCCCTAGAAGCATCTAGCAGGTCCCAAACTGGGCAAGCAATCAAAGTAAATAAGACATTTATAGATAACTTCTTATTCTGTTTTTGTTCGCTTGAAATAAATTATCTATATCTTCAAACCTGTCTCTAGTATGAACTTCACTGTCCTTTGTAATTCACTAAGCGGCCTATAAAGTGTGACTTCCACAAGTGTCTCTTTTGGCCAGAAGTTTTGCCTGGAAGCGTTGATAACTAAAATCAACAGCTCTGTCAGCCCCAAACAACGCATGATGTATTACTGACGATTCCACACTCATCTCAAACATCACATCAAGTGTCTTCTTATATTTCAGTTTTGGTCAGTGTATACTAAATAATTCTGGCAACCACGGGGTATCTTTCTATTCATTTTTAATTCCTATAACAAAATGAGTGGTTAGAGTTTTCATGTCAATATTTAATGGGAGAAATTACTATTTGGTACTTTTATTTTTGTTCACCCCATCTCAGCAACCCCAAGATTTCGTGGGGAATTAGGGTCAGTGTTAGTCTGTGTTAATTTCACACCATTAAACGCCTATACTATTGGACTTTCCAGTGAACACCCCCCCCCCCCCCCCTCCCCCTCTCCAAAGAATCAGGGATTCGCCGAGATATAGTGTTAAAAAAAATGTGACTGAAAGAATAAAAGCACTGGATGCAGAGGTGCTGAATCACATGAGGCGGTTCATCAGACCTAGGGATAAGTCTGTTGGAAGATCTATCTACATCTCTCCAAGGTTAATCTAGAAACTGGTTCTACCAGTGGCCTAGACAATCTAGCGTGGATCGAGGTTTCCATTAAAGTTGCAGCACACAGACCATTCAAGGCTTCAAATGTTATGTTTATTGATTAGCTTGTTTTTCCTTTTCAGCCTATGGTGGCAAATAGAGCAGGGGTGATAGTTCTCCATGTCTGGCGGTTGGTTGCTGGCACCTGTTCTAGGTCTTAGATGTTTATTAGGTCCACTGCATTGCTGAGCCTTTCCTGATGATGGTTCTAGGCAAGGTCTCTCTCCTGGTCTTCCCTGATGATAATTCTCCTCAAGGTCTCTCTTGGTCTTCCCTGATGATGGTTCTAGGCAAGGTCTCTCTCTTGGTCTTACTTGATGATGGTTCTAGGCAAGGTCTCTCTCTTGGTCTTCCCTGATGATGGTTCTCCTCAAGGTCTCTCTCTTGGTCTTCCCTGATGATGTTTCTCCTCAAGGTCTCTCTTGGTCTTCCCTGATGATGTTTCTCCTCAAGGTCTCTCTTGGTCTTTCCTGATGATGGTTCTCCTCAAGGTATCTCTTGGTCTTCCCTGATGATGGTTCTCCTCAAGGTCTCTCTTGGTCTTCCCTGATAATGGTTCTCTTCAAGGTCTCTCTTGGTCTTCCCTGATGATGTTTCTCCTCAAGGTCTCTCTTGGTCTTCCCTGATGATGGTTCTCCTCAAGGTCTCTCTTGGTCTTCCCTGATGATGGTTCTAGGCAAGGTCTCTCTCTTGGTCTTCCTTGATGATGGTTCTAGGCAAGGTCTCTCTCTTGGTCTTCCCTGATGATGGTTCTCCTCAAGGTCTCTCTTGGTCTTCCCTGATGATGGTTCTAGGCAAGGTCTCTCTCTTGGTCTTCCTTGAGGATGGTTCTAGGCAAGGTCTCTCTCTTGGTATTCCCTGATGATGGTTCTCCTCAAGGTCTCTCTTGGTCTTCCCTGATGATGGTTCTCAACAAGGTCTCTCTTGGTCTTCCCTGATGATGGTTCTCCTTAAGGTCTCTCTTGGTCTTCCCTGATGATGTTTCTCCTCAAGGTCTCTCTTGGTCTTCCCTGATGATGGTTCTCCTCAAGGTATCTCTTGGTCTTCCCTGATGATAGTTCTACTCAAGGTCTCTCTTGGTATTCCCTGATGATGGTTCTCCTCAAGGTCTCTCTTGGTCTTCCCTGATGATGGTTCTAGGCAAGGTCTCTCTCTTGGTCTTCCTTGATGATGGTTCTAGGCAAGGTCTCTCTTTTGGTCTTCCTTGATGATGGTTCTAGGCAAGGTCTCTCTCTTGGTCTTCCTTGATGATGGTTCTCCTCAAGGTCTCTCTTGGTCTTCCCTGATGATGGTTCTAGGCAAGGTCTCTCTCTTGGTCTTCCTTGATGATGGTTCTAGGCAAGGTCTCTCTCTTGGTCTTCCCTGATGATGGTTCTCCTCAAGGTCTCTTTTGATCTTTCCTGACGATAGTTCTACTCAAGGTCTCTCTTCGTCTTCGTTTTAATAGGTTACTCCCTTTTTATGTCTTTAAATATTTCGAAAATTAAAAACAAACACTAATAAATTTCGAAACAATTTATGCATCTGTGTAAAATATTTTTTTTTTAAAATTCCCACATGTTTATGACCTATTTTTTGTTAGCATTCGCAAGGCCAAATCGAAAAGAAAACATTATAACTCAGAGACAGCCACTGACCTCCTCCTTCTCCACGAGCTGGTCACCCCAGTTAGCAACCACATGATCCTGCAACAGGTCAGACTCCACCTTCCTCATGTCGGGATTGTTGTCTATCCAGTGCTGGTAGAGCTTGTCTTCAACAACCTGCAGAATACAAAACACGGCTGAAACACTCAAAAGAAGGAAAGAGGAATCCCCATAATGTGGCAGGTCCTTTGCAGAAGGTCGCTCTCATCACAGCCTGCCTGAAAGAAACTCGGTCTCTAATCAAATCTCCTGCCACGTGCACTTTCATCCCAAGGTGTCACTTATATCCTGTGCATATCTTCATGCTGGCCGGCACCTGTGCCTCTTTCTTGGTACTATAACTTCTGTTATTATGTTTTCCATCACCTGTGCCTCTTTCTTGGTACCATACCTTCTGTTATTATGTTTTCCATCACCTGTGCCTCTTTCTTGGTACCATACCTTCTGTTATTATGTTTTTCATCTCCTGTGCCTCTTTCTTGGTACCATACCTTCTGTTATTATGTTTTCCATCACCTGTGCCTCTTTCTTGGTACCATACCTTCTGTTATTATGTTTTCCATCACCTGTGCCTCTTTCTTGGTACCATACTTTCTATTATTTTGTTTTCCATCACCTGAGCCTCTTTCTTGGTACCATACCTTCTGTTATTAAGTTTTCCATCACCTGTGCCTCTTTCTTGGTACCATACCTTCTGTTATTATGTTTTCCATCACCTGTGCCTCTTTCTTGGTACCATACCTTCTGTTATTATGTTTTCCATCACCTGTGCCTCTTTCTTGGTACCATACCTTCTGTTACTATGTTTTCCATCACCTGTGCCTCTTTCTTGGTACCATACCTTCTGTTATTTTGTTTTCCATCACCTGTGCCTCTTTCTTGGTACCATACCTTCTGTTATTTTGTTTTCCATCACCTGTGCCTCTTTCTTGGTACCATAACTTCTGTTATTAAGTTTACCATCACCTGTGCCTCTTTCTTGGTACCATACCTTCTGTTATTATGTTTTCCAATCCGTTGTGGTGCCTGATATGACAAAGATATTTCAGCTTCCGAGACAAGATGCTGTTAACTAGCCAACAATCCATTAACTAGCCAACAATCCATTAACTAGCCAACAATCCATTAACTAGCCAACAATCCATTAACTAGCCAACAATCCATTAACTAGCCAACAATCCATTAACTAGCCAACAATCCATTAACAAGCCAACAATCCAATAAGTGATGCTCAGATCTTTTAGAATGTATTTCTTTTCTTCTTTGTCCATGGCAATCTGAGAATCTTTCTATAGTATTTCAGCTTAAAAGCCCTTACTATCTTTCTTAAGGACTGTGAAAGGGGAACGCATGCACAAATATAATCAAATATTTTGACAAAGTCTTTAATCAATGGATAAAACAACTTCCTAATTGAACAGCCAGTAATGTCAACAAGAAACCAGTCACATTTATATGTCCTGTTAATTTCATGTGACGTTTTGTTATGGATTTTATGAACCACCTAATTATGATAGCAGCTGTTGATATGTCATTGTGCTTTAAATAAATGCAAGCACACAAAAATTGTTTGTCAAAGGCCTCAAAATTAGGCTGTGTCTTATATAACGAAGGTAGGTCTACATGCACTGTTGGTTAGTTCGACGTTAGTCTTCCCAAATAGAGTAGGCCCCTTTTAGTTCACAAGTTTGTTGGGCTGGTCATCTTTCCTGAAGGTTGCTGGTGTGTCCTGCTCTGTTGTTTGGTTTCTGTGATGTCTTGCATTTACATTTTCATTCCGAGAAAGAGAATGCTTGTGACAAAAGTTGCAGCATTCTCGGAAGGGGGGGGGGGTTGTGTTAGACCTAGTTTCTCCGGCATCAACGGCATTGCTGAACACCCCCGGAACCTTGTGCAAAGGTCACATGGTTCAGGAACTACCAATCAAAAGTGAGCTAGTGTGTAAATGGGCGGGGTCTGGGGAGATCAACATTGAACTAACCGCACTGTTATTTTTTATAGTTGCCCGCAGTACTGAAGAAGACTGTAAGCGGCACTGCCACACTACAGATTTTAAACTCCCCGTCATAAAATATGCAGAAAAACCCTCAACAACGAAAAATATGGTAAACACCACAGATGCCTAAAAACACTCTAGACATGACATGGATGAACACAATGTAAATATCAAGAAATAACAAGTTTTGACAACAACTGTCACAAAGAGTTACACACCCTTTGCCTCTTCTCCTCCCGAGCACTTTTAAGTCCTTCAGCTCTTG